GTTTTCAATTTTCAAATTAGTCCACTCGGTTACATCTTTTATAAAAGCTGTCTCCGCACGTACCAACAGTACATAGTCAAAAGATGCCGATACATTAAGGGGATTCAGTATTAGTACACACGCCGTAGAGTAAAAACATGCTTATCGGTTCTAGATATCATGAGTTTAATGTTTGGAACAGAGGTTTGAAATTTTGTAGTAAGATAGGTAAAGCTTTGTTCTAAAGTCTGTCGAAGGCCATTTTTTAATTTCTTAATTTCTATTGAAAATACGTGTCCTATAAGAAGTATTAACTTTAAGCACTTGTAAATGCTTTTAATGACCGTATTATTGAAAACTAAAAAGGTGCCGAGTTAGTGTGAACCTTTGTCTGTTACCATACAAAAATTCAGATATTTATCTCGCAACGTTAAATCACAATGTTTAGAATAGAAACCCATATTTTCGGAAAAATTCACACTAAGCACGAGCGGTCTATTGCGGTTAATCCCCTTAATAAATGACACCGAATCCTTTTCTGTTTACCCATTGCATCCGCGAATAATGAAATTTTTAGCTGCGAATACAGGAATTGGGTTGCAATTTTTTCACCAGCGAATAAGATAAGCGTGAATAAGGAACTTTTACTGTAGGTGGCGACAAAAAATGCGTTGTCGAAGATGTCTCTTGAATATTGGAAAGCAATTGATTGAAAACAAGGATTTTGATCTTTAAAATACCCCTAGCATTCCGCGTACTTCTTTTCATTATTATACGTAGACAACAAACGAATAGTATTTACACATTCTATCACATTGTCACCACATTTTTTATCGCTGTTAATGGCATATACGTATATTACAATTTCCTTGCTGATTTATTCAATTTTATCGGCTTAGGGCAGGATTGAACTCCTGGCGTTGATAATAAGCATGTTGCAAACATACATATGTTAAAAGTTAAATGCTTCGACCACCTGTTCCTTTATTTACCTTTACCATAATGATACACTTTATGGCATTCTTATAATTTTTAATAATGGTAATATACATAGATACAAGATTAATTATTACAAAACGTTATTAGACACCGTATTAAGTCCAGAAATACCTTTGATATCCACCGTGCGATAAAATAGTAAAGTTTGCTCAATAGTCCTTTCAGTATGTAATACGTCAAGGATATCGCGGATAAAGGGAGCAGTTTTCAAATAAATAAATGATTAACTTCAGCGGTCAGATTTGTAACAATGTTAGCATATATTAACTTATGCTGTAAAGAATTGCGATGGGTCAGTTGGGGCCTTAGGATAGTCACGGGGTGCGCCATATACTTGACTACTGTCACTTAACCGTTTATGGAAATTGTTATTAATTAATTTGTAGGTGTGCTTTTGAATATTACACACTACTACACTTTTAATGATAGGTGTTTACCATGGCTTCTAGTATCTGATATTTTTTTAAGTAAATGCCAACCAGAATTGAATCAGATCTCGTACTGGAGTACTGCGTGACATAACCAAACGACTGGCGCACTTGTAAAAAGATAAGGAACATATGAATCTTTTCCACACTGTAGTCTTATCTATTGCTCTTTTAATAGTAAGTAAATGTTAGGTAACGTTCTAGAAACTCTCGAACATGTGGTTCTTCCTATCATGAATCAATACATTCATTTCTTGAAAACCACAACCCGGCTAGAAACTGTTAAGGTTTGCGGTTCGGATTGGAGCTAGATCAGAAATGAAAGATCTTAAAACATTTGGGTCCCACCAGGCATCTAGACTAGTCCGGATGGGACTACCCCCTGTCGATCAGTTTTTACCATTTGGTGCTAATCATGCTATCTTGTTGGGGCTGGAGCAAAAATGTAACGCTTCAAAACCTTTACGCCTAATCAATCAATAAGGTATCCACATCAGGGCCATATTAGTCTTAATAGGGTTCAGATAGGGTGTCGCCGTTATGGTTAGATCAGACTAAATAGGACATGACGTAACAGAGTTGAAATTAGGACTTCATAAGTATTAACAGAGCATGCCTTAGAAGATGCTTTAGTAAATCCGATTCCAGGTTCGATGCAGGTAGAGTCCACACACTTTTACATTTGCGAAAATAGTCCAGGACTTCCACTACTGGGCTGTAAACCATTTTCTGTTTCTAATGTGACTGTAACAATAAGTCCCTTCATGTCTTAGAAGGTGCCCTGCCACTGTATTTTCTCTTTTCCTTCCTGATTTCTACGGCGTACATTGCTCTCCGTCTACTTCTCAGTCCATCTCATTTCTAACCTTTTCTATTAATGTTTATCATCACTCTTCAGGCTGTACTCCAAACATATTCATTTAATTTTAGGAATAGTGATGAAAAATACTTTTTGGCGAAAATTTCCCGAAATACGATCTCTAAAGATATCTCTTACACAAATTATGAAATATATTACATATGTATATGCCTTTTTGAGCAAGTTTCTAATTATAGTAAGGTCCATCAAATTAAAGAGCATAATTCGTATTATACACACAATGTTATTACGTGTCGCGGATTTATGAAGTGAAAAGGAGCGACACAACATTCAGTAGTCGGACACGATATTGTTGAAACTGTGTTGCCGCTAACAGCTTCTTAAAAAACTGTCTGGAATCTGGGCAGACGGTCGTCCGTCCTTGTCGGTAGCGGTATTGCAACTAAACAGTTATCACTCTCGCTCTCGTTTGATGTCGCGATATTCTACTGCACTGGCGCCTCTTGCTTTATTTAAGCTACATTAAATTGGAGAATCCGGACTGACGTATCATCATCTTTGCGGCACTGTTCTTCTCTCTCTGTCGTCCTGGCCTTTCTCATTGCATTAATTCCTTTTCACTTTTATAAATGTAATGTTCGTGGGTTTAATAGAAAAACTTCTAAGACTGACAACGACAAAAACTATTTATTTACACTAATTATTAATATATCACTATTCACTGCTCTATTTATTTCACTGCTATCACTGTCAATTTATTTCTACTCCTTCTCGGCGATCGTCTCTTCTTTTAAATACCCTTTTGTTTCCTTTCGGGAACCTTCTCGAAACGTCCGGAAAAGTTTCTTTTTCTCTGAACTGTTTAGCTGCTTTCCCAGAACGCAGGTACGACACACACATTTGCAAATACGGCGCACATGAAGAAAGGCGCCCGCGGCTAGTCGGCGAATCGATAAGCCGCTCACACACACGTGTGCCCGATCGCACACAAATACTCTAGTGCTCGCTACAATAATAATAATGTACTTGCAATATCGTTCACAACAACTAAACTCAATGAATTTAGAAAACGAGCTTCAGAAAAGATAAATATGATAAAAGATTCAGTTCATAGTTCAATGTAAAAAAAGTCCTGCAGATGCAGAATTCGAGTTCTGGAGATTTCACTATGTGTATATACTCCTATTAGGACGAGGTTTACTGAAGACTCTTTAATACTATAAAATGAGCGTCTCATACATCATCGATTGCGTGACTTCTAATTAACTAAATGAAACCGAGTGGTCGGTTCGAATCGAGTCGATTCGATGGTTGAAATGTTAAAAACATCCTTTTCACACATCGATCTCTTCCATCTTCATTAAGTAATTTTTTGCGTCCCATTCACCTGTTCTCAATCGGCATTGCGAAAAGGACAGGAGCAGGCATGGCGAGATAGTGGCCGGCACAGCAGAGTCGCTCGGATAGGACCATCTGATCGCCCTTCTTCTCCTTGCCGCTTCCTGCAAGATGCTGCTGTCTGGCGGGGTCGATTCGCGTATGTGTGTGTATGCTCGCTCGCTCGCTGTTGCTGCTGCAGCCACTGCTCGATATGTTCGCGTTTAAGTTATTCGAGCAGAATGCGAGACTGAGACGCGTTAGCAGCAGAAACAATATAACAGTAGCAATTGCTACGGTCAGCGGCGAGATAAAAGGGTTCCCGTACAATGGCCGGCTCTGGCCGCTCAAAGGGCCGGTCCCCGGACCCGCGTGTCGCCTCTCCATCCTCGGAACGTGTGTATAATGTTTATGTTTCAAAAGGGAAACCTATATGCCTCTGTACCATTGCACAGGATATATTATTGGAGTTGTTACAGATAAAAAGACAACAGATCCTGGATCGATACTAACGATTTTTTTTATCGAACATGATTACTGCCCATTACATACGTCACATATGTCACAAAAAACATTAAATAAAGTTGCTAATCTTTCAATGTTCTTAACTTATTCGATTTTTGTCGAAAATTCTCTTACCGTAGCAAGGGTTGTCTTTTTTCCTATCCTGAGCTTATGTTTGCATTTCCCCAAAATTAGAACAACCCAGATCCTTAACTAATTGCGAGCAGCAGTCTAATCTAGGTCTACCTCCACTCCTCCTAACTCCCGTTTCTGCCTCTAATATGTCTCTGATTAGACCTTCAGGCCTGAGAAAGTGTCCTACCAATTTATCTGGCCTATTTCTTATTGGCTTTCACAAATTCCTCTGTTCTCCTATTCTTTCTAATACCTCTCCACGGTATCCTCATCATTCGCCTGTAACACCACATTTCGAACGCTTTTATCCTTTTCTTTTCCGCCGCGCCCACTATCCTTGTTTCGCTCCCGTACAACGCCGCGCTCCAAACATACACCTTTAACAACCTTTTCCGAATTTCTAAATGAAACATTCTCGAGCATAAAAGTGATATCCCATCTGCGTTATCCTCTGCTTTATATCCCTACTATTCCTTTCGTCCTGACTTATCTGACTTCCTAGATACCTAAAATCAGCCACTTCTTCTAATATACCGTCTCCTATTTTTAAATTCGCTCGTTTCCTACTTTTTCTTCCCTTGCAAACCGGTATTACCTAATTCCTTGTATTTATATAAAAATATCACGAATAATATATAAAAATCCGGACAATGTCACACTTAAAGGAGTCCTTTTTATCCTTCTGTGGTTCTAAACCTTAAATAAGTACATGCAAAAAATATACTCATTGTTTTAATTAAATCTTTTTCTACTTTCAGATTCGTCACCGATTCGGCTGTTACGACGAAATATCCGGTAGCGGTTTAAAGAGGGTTCGTCATTGTAACTGGGTACGTTTTGTACGTGTAGCGACCACCTTCAACCCCGCCGTAAATTTCGTCGCGACAAAAGTGCGAGGCGAGCCCGTATACGAAGCCGTCAAACCAATACCACCGGATACAGAACTATTAGTATATTACTTGCCAGAAAGACCTGAAGAATTATTTTTCGTTAGGATGAGGGCATCTTTGTATAGACAAACGATGGACTCGATTTTGGAAGGTAAATTACCATCATTTATTTGTAGAATCAACCTCCATATTTCTTTACCTCATTTTTGACGATATTCGATTCAGGGGATGTTTCTACGACGTTGTCGGTGCCTCATAAACTTTAGAGAAGTCTTACAGATATTGTTTTCGTCAACTTCAAGAAATACTGTCAAAAAGTAATTGTCTTTGAACATCTCTATGCATGGGCAGTGGCTAAATTTGTAAAAAGATGCTCGGTGGCCCGTTTCCGCGCATATTCGATTTTTCCACGACGCCTTTAGACAAGTTTTACATACATTGTTTTAATTAACTTCAAGAGACAAGGTCAAAAGGTAACTCTGTTTACCGAGGACATATAGAGCAGACAGACATAAGGCTTCCTCCTCACACACGGCCTACTACTCGAATACATATGGGTAATAAATATAACGATGGATGAAGAGATAAAGTCATCCAGCAAAGTCGTTGCAACCGTTGCGTTGTCGGTGGAACGGTTTGGGGGAAGTGAGATGCTCGGGGGGGTCCGGACGATCGGAATGAAAGAAGCGACGCGATGGGGGTGAGGAAGGAACTCGATCGGGGGACGGAGGGGGGGGGGCTCTAAAGAGTCGTATAGGGCTCCATCGGAGACGACGGTGTGCGTGTGAATGCATGCAAGTAATTCTCGACTCGCCTATAAATTACGCGTTTTTGCAGCAGCGTCGTTTTTAGGGGCGATTTGTTCACAGGCAGTCCGCTCAATTATCTTAATGCGTCCCATTGTTGCCGCTACACCACTGTCACCATTAATGCCGACGAATCAGATAAACGAATATCTTCACGTAAATCGGGTGTAAATTTGCAAAAATATGCATTATAGGTGGTGCATACGTTTTAATTTTGACGACATTTTACAATATAAATACTTACCATAACTTTAATGGTTATAACGTGTCATTAGAACATACCTATGAGCAACACTCGAACACAGGCCTGCCCGTTTCTATGAAATTGTTCAATTCCAATTTGAATATGTCAAAAGGAGCGTATTATATTAAAAAAATATGGTATTATGGTATCTTTCAAACCGCTCGATACAATTGGACGAAATTTTAGAAAACTTTAAGTCATTAATGATTTAAATTAATTGTCTTTACAATTGACTAATTGAGTGATGGACAAACATATATAAATACACTAGTCAGTCCTGACCAATTAACCCCAGGACGTGTATAATCCTTGAAGTTTGGACGGGTTACATTGGTTTTCTTGTAAAATCCTAATTTTTTCTGTAACCTATTTCTATTTATATTTTTTTATGGTGTCGGTAAGCGGGCCCAGAAGGTAGATGGCTTTTTGTCTCATTTTTAAAATACCATAACGAACAAGTCGTTTAATAAATAGCCTTTAACGAGCGCTGACGTTTCGGATTCAAATGCTCCTTTCAAGGAAGTGACTTATGAACTCGAACGCGACCGTCCAATTTATAATATCGTATAAAACAGGATCGTCTTTTCCTTCTATTCGTTCGCTTTTGTACATAATAATATAAGACGTTCGTTTTATATTTTCGGCAAGAGAACAACAGCGCTGAGACCTCGCGCCGCCGAGATGCATTTCGTTCGTTCAGTCAGTTCGAGGCAACATTCGTGCCTTATTGAGATGTAAATGTATCATCCACTTAGCATTCGTCGGTTTCTTTTGCAGATGGTTCCAGTTTTTGAGCGAAGCGAATAAAAATTGCGACGAACGAGAGTCGCTCTCGTAAATCTGTCCGACTTTTCTCCTTAAATTAGCCATTGTCTTTCGGGACGACCGGGATACGGACTCTGACTTCTCCTTTTGTTCAGTTCCATTTTTGCTACGTGTGCGCAATACTCTTTCAGATGCGCCGAAAATAGACGGGGCAACGTCATGTTTAATGCAACATAATTAAAAGGATAAAAATCGACGTTAATTGGAACAAACGCAGCGGGTAATAAGGAGCAATGGAACAGTTTTTTGATCCTGGGGGGCGGTTATTGCCTACATCAATATCATCACAGGGTCATCAGTCCGAAGACGTCGACCCTTCGTCATCGAATACTCTTTGTATCAAATCTTAGAAATCCTTAAATTGTCCACAGTAGCAAATGAATTTCACTTGCATCTTACAACATTTGCTTTTATTCATTCTTTCTTCAAAACAGGCTCCTCTTAATTTACAGATTCGCCCTTAGATCTGTCGATGTCCTTATTATCAAGGGCGTTATCAAATTCACCCCCGTCAGCTGAAGACGAAAGAAAATCACTATCTGGAGACAGTTCGGCGGCTAGTTCGCAAGGTGATATTCTGGAATCAAGTGGACCCACTCCGAGAGCAAGACCAAGAGAAAGGGCGCTGCTACCATGCAGTGTTTGTAACAAAGCTTTCGACAGACCGTCTTTGCTCAAAAGGCACATGAGGACGCACACAGGTAAGTATTCCGAAACTCCTATAATATATTTTCAAAAAAGCCATTTAAGACTAAAGTTAATTCTTGTGGAAACTTAATCGCCATAGAGGAATTTATTATATTTAATACCGTCTCTATTGGAACATATATTCATTAAAATTAACAAGCTTTGGCAACAAGTTTTTGTGGCAACATCCCTTATTATTTTTACGTATATAGGAGAGAAGCCTCATGTGTGTATGGTCTGCGGTAAGGGATTTAGTACGTCCTCTTCGTTGAACACGCACAGAAGAATACACAGCGGCGAAAAGCCCCATCAGTGCCCGGTTTGTCTGAAAAGGTTTACGGCATCCTCGAATCTGTACTATCATCGTATGACACACATAAAGGTGAGTAGTTAAGTTATTCAGTAATAAGTACCTGTTTAAATCGTTACACAATAGGGTCAAAATCATACATAAAGTTAATAAGTTTTTCTTTAAGTGTACAAAAAACTGTTTCTGGGAAGTTCTTATTGCCATTGTTTTATTCTCTTCTTCTTCTTCTTCCTTGTCTGACCCCATTTCTGATATTAACCTTTCATCATCATAAGGTCATCAGTCCTAAGACTGGTTGGACACGCACCTCCACTCTTTCCTATCCTGAGCTAATCTTCGCATTTGTGAACAGTAACCTCATCTAGGTCTGTCTATACTAATTTCCCTAAAACTAGAACAACCCACATCATGAACTATTTGCGAACAGTAATCTAAACTAGGTCTACCTCTATCCCTCCTAACTCCCGTTTCTGCCTCTAATATGTCTCTGAACAGACCTTCATGTCTGAGAAGGTGTCCTACCAACCTATCTCGCCTATTTCTTATTGACTTCCATAGAGTCCTCCGTTCTCCTATTCTTTATAATACCTTTTCATTTCTAACTTTCTCTATTCACGATTTCCTCATCATTTGTCTGTAACACCACATTTTGAACGCTAATCTAACCTAACCTTTTTCTTTCCTGTCCATGTTTCGCACCCGTACTGCACCGTGCTCCACACATACACCTTTAACAATCTTTTTGGAATTTCTAAATTAACCGTTCCCAAGCATAGAAGTGACTTCTTTTTATTGAAGGCGACGCGAGCCTTCGCTATTCTCTGTGTTATATCCCTACTGATCCTTCCGTCCTGAATTATCTGACTTACCTAAATACCTAAAATAGTAACTTCTTCTAATTTTCGTCTCCTATCTTTATATTTGCTCATTTCCTACTTTTTCTTCCCTTGGATACCAGTATTTTTGTATTATTTTTATTTATTATTAACCTTTACAGAACATAAATTGATTTGGAAAAAAATTAAATTATATAGTAATATAAATCAAAAAAAAATTTTTTTCCTAAGTACGTTCTAAATTCCCTAGGTCTAACCTTTATCTTCTTAGTTGTTTCATATCCTAAATGAAGGATATTGTTAATGACTAATAACCATAATAAATACTTTACAATCAAAGGATTAATTAATTATTAAAGAAAAAAGTTCTGTGATCCTTTTCTTAACACTACTTTCCTAACTAAAGGGTTTCCAATCGTAATTATTACTTATATAACTGACAACATACGGTAGACCATCTGAGAAGGATAATTTCGGTAATTTTTTGCGTCCAGTTTAATATTTATTTTCAAAACATACGTCAGTTATATTTCGGGAACGATTTCCGATGGGTCGACTTCCTTTAATAATAATTCACACATGCACCTTACCCTACCGACCATACATATATCTACATACTATATAACAGGTATATATACATAAAGCACCTTGCACTTTGTCGTTTTTTTCTGTTTTTCAAACGACGATCGAAGAACCCTTAGGTCGATTCCCGTATGCGGCAGGTGTCAGACAATCGTTTGGTCCAAAAGGCGCTAAGTCAGAAGGGCCATAGTCGTCCACTAACGACATATGGTACCTACGGTATTCAGTCATAATTACAATAATTTCAGTTTTTTTATTCGAAGAAGTGAAGGAAACATATGGGCAGTCGACCGTTAAAAAACGGCACAAAACACAGACAGATATACACACATAACGTACAAGATACAAAGACGTCACCCGCATTAAGTGGTTTTAGGCCCTTAAAGGGACACGATATGTGAATGACGGAGGTAACAAAGGGAAGAAATTATAGGTAATCCTTCCCTCTTCTGTGACCGGTGAATTAGACGATTAGACAAGATTTGTCAAATCGTGACGTGGACGGATACAAATGATGCAAGCAACAGGTTGAAATATCTTTTCCGAAGAGCTACGGGAGGTACGGAATTAATACGTTAAAAACTTTTATAAGACTATTGTTTGGGATGCCAGATTAATCGGTAATAGGCAACCGTAAAAAAAATGCGTCAAAAGTAAATCTGACCGACTTAAGGAGGCAGGAAGCATATGTAAAGGCTATGAGATCTCGAGAATTATTATATAGGTACAACAACCCTTGGTCAACGTGTTACTATTTTTGGACTAAAAGGTACATTCGTGGCGAGACTTTGATTTGAAATTGAAAGAAGAAAATCACTGTAATGCAAATTTCTTCTTCGAGGTAGACTGTATAATAATGGTAAATTTTTGGCGCCTCCTGACGAGAAAACTAACCATAGAATCGGGAAACGTCCCATTTAAATACAACTGTGGAACATATCATCTATTAATTTCTGCAATAATCTCAGGTGGCCTATCTCGACGGACAATGCATTTGGGTCATGTTTGTTTTTGTCATAATTGTAGAACGTAATCTAATACAGATGAACAAATTTTCAATATAAAAATAATACAAAATCGATGTTCAAAATGGGTCGTCACCATCAGAAGGTCGTCAGTCTTAAGACTGATTGGGAACGCATCTTCATTTTTCCTATCTGGAGCTAAACTTTGTATTTCCATAAAACTAGAACATCCCACATCCTTAACTCTAGTTTTTACTTCTAATACGTCCTTAACTAAAACTACCATAATCGAATAAAATAATTCGAAGTGGTCTGTATTCTGTCGAAACTGCCAGACGCGGATCGCGATTTCGATCTTGTTGGATCTCATCAGCGCGTCGCAGACAGCTCCGACAGAACACAGACCGACTTTTACCTGCTGTCTTACCAGTGCGTTTCAGAAAATACTACAAACGACGCAGTAAACGCCATCTGTAGTACGATGCTACATTTTAGGATTACGTATACTCCGTGCTACAGATGGCGTTTACTGCGCCGTTTGTAGTATTTTCTGAAACGCGCTGATGAGATCCAAAAAGATCGAAATCGCGATCCGCGTCTGGCAGTTTCGACAAAATACAGACCACTTCGAATTATTTTATTCGATTAAGCTAACGTGCCTATCACGTTGAGGTTGGCTACGCCGGGATTCGTTTTCAGCAAGTAGATATCCACACAAGTGGACCTTGTTGGAGCATACGTAATCCTAAAATGTAGCATCGTGCTACAGATGGCGTTTACTGCGCCATTTGTAGTATTTTCTAAAACTATCATGCTTGAAAAGGTGCCCTACCAACCTATCTCGCCTATTCTTTAATAATTTCCACAGTGACCTCTGCTCTCCTATTCACTGTAATACCTCCTTATTTGTAACCTTTTTCAAAGTTGGTCATCATCATCTTAAAGTCCTCATTACTAAGACTGGTTGGATACGCATCTCCACTCATTCCTATCCTTAGTTAATCTTCGCATTTCCCTAAAACTAGAACAATCCACATTCTTAACTATTTGCGAACAGTAATGTAATCTACAACTACCCCTACCCCTCCTAACTGCCGTTTCTGTCTCTAATATGTCTCTGACTAAACCTTCATGCCTGAGAAGGTGTCCTACCAATCTATCTCGACTATTTTTTATTGAGTTTCATAGAGTTCTCTGTTCTCCTATTCTTTCTATCCACGGTAATCCTCGCCATTCGCCTGTAACACCACTTTAGAACGCTTCTAACCTTTTCTTTTCCGCCACGCCCGTTTAATTTTGAATCTCCTTTACACTTTTAACCACTAGACAAAATACGTCCAATAAGAAAAAGACATATTTATTTCTGCTGATCAATAACTAAATCAGTAGAAAGTTTAAAGACGGTGTGTGTTCGTGGTTATACGTTGCATTATGAATGTCGGTGCAATTATGGTGAAATGGAGTGGTTAAGAATAGGGTTTATCCTTGAAGAAAACGGTCCCAACCACCCAAGTAAAACGCTTCTCACGGACGGCACTAGACCATAACCCAACCTTACCGCCGCGCCGTTCTGTACATATCTTTATCTGCATACACACATTTATGCATCCACAGGTGGTATCTATCCGCAAGAACACTACGCCCTCCTTAAGTGATTACTGTAGACATACCGACAAACAAGTCAGTGGAACGCTATTGTACGATACTTATTTGTCCTGTTACCAAATTCCCATAACTCTCGTTATAAGCCTCAAGGATTCACGTCTACCACTGTAATTATCGCTTTGCATTTCAACCGTGTATTGTTTTCATTAAATAGATGCGTTTTGTACAATAACATCAGTAACGGATAATGTTGAATGCGGTCAGGGTCCTTTTGATTAGTCCTTGCCACAATATCATAAAGTGCCTCAAATAATATTGTACTGATGTTATCCTTAAAATACATTTCCAGGACTATTGTTATTACAGAATCTATTTTCGTTTACAAAAACCTTCCACGGCAATTGGTTTACTTTACAGAATAAAACTTTTATTATTAAGACTTAGATTCACCTTTTTTGAGCTGCTTCAAATCCTATCCGTTTTCATTGACTCACATTCTGTAGATTTAGAATTCGTGAAATCTAAATGAATCTGGTTTTCATCCAAAAGAATTGCCCAGAATTATATGTCTGCCTATAATTCCACAGAGTTAGATCCATTGTTCTTACCACTGAATTACATTCTTTGGGTTTTAAGTAAACTATTCAATATGGTTTTTCGTCTTTAACAGTCTTATATATTTCCATTATTCTAAAGCGCAAAAATGTCAGTTCAAACCTTGCAATCTTACGAAATTAGATCGATCTTCCAATCTTTCTAAGACTTCGGCCAATAATTTCCATATGCGTGATGACAAAATAAAAGAATCTTCTTCCAACAGCTCTTGTTATAGCAGCGGCCTCTTTAATGGGATCATTTTAATTGGCTAATTTAATCCAAGTCCACTATTGCATCAAAGCAAAGAGGTTTACGTCGGTGGCGCTTACTTCGCTCACGGTTTAGCAGGAATACAAACTAGAGACCAAAAAAAAAAAGAAATATCGCATTCAACTGTTCGCAATTCAGCACTACATTAGTACCTTCCTCGTACTATCTCTTTGGTAACGGTAACTGTTGCATTCAGAAAAGGGAAATTTATGAACTA